TCATAGTCTCAATCCATCATAGTCTCAATCCTTCATAGTCCCACTCCGGCATAGTCTCAATCCATCATAGTCTCAATCCATCATAGTCTCAATCCATCATAGTCTCAATCCATCATAGTCTCAATCCATCATAATCTGAATCCATCATAGTCTCAATCCATCATAGCCTCAATCCTTCATAGTCTCAATCCTTCATAGTCTCAATCCATCATAGTCTCAATCCTTCATAGTCTCAATCCATCATAGTCTCAATCCTTCATAGTCTCAATCCATCATAGTCTGAATCCTTCATAGTCTCAATCCTTCATAGTCTGAATCCATCATAGTCTCAATCCTTCATAGTCTCAATCCATCATAGTCTGAATCCTTCATAGTCTGAATTCTTCATAGTCTGAATTCTTCATAGTCTCAATCCTTCATAGTCTCAATCCTTCATAGTCTCAATCCTTCATAGTCTCAACCCATCATGGTCTCAATCCTTCATAGTCTCAATCCATCATAATCTCAATCCATCCATCATGTTTTAGTTCCTAAAATTTGTAATACGTTTTCTATCATATATATAAACCCTCCCACCCCAAATCAAAATGAATCTTATTTTGTCCTCATTACAATCCTGCTGCCTGGTGTGTATCATAGAACATATCTACTGACGAAATTCAGAATTTTGGAAGATGTATCTCATTACATTCAATGTTATAAGTAGAACTAAATGATGAGAACACTATTATTATTATTATTATTTATTTATTTATTTAGCAATTGTTACAAACTATTTTGGACACTTTCTTGGTGAACTGAATGAATATGAATGAATGACAAATATCTTTCAGCCTCGTCCACAATATACACCACAGCGCTTTGTGGCGTATCCATGGTAACTGGTCCTCCTGCGTACGAGCATGAGACACCCCAGTTCATTCGCCCCTTTGGGCTGAACAGCGTCTCACCTGCAGAAGGTGGGAAGCTTCCAGCACACGGTCGATGTTTCCTCCATCCAATGGCAGCTCGCCGCTGTACAGGAAGTCCACGACGGCGTTCAGACCGACGTAGGACATCCCGACCAGCTCAACCTGCAGACAGGAAGAGGACATGGGCAGGATGCGGAGGACGTCGCACACTTGAGACACGCGGTCGTGTACCTCCTGCTGGCGTTCCTCCCTCATGCCCAAGGTGAACATGGCGTGGAAGTACGGGCTGGACACGGCCAGCAGGGCCCGGTGGGCGGGGACCCGCCGGTTGTCCGCCACCAGCACCACATCGCAGAACTGGCCGCGGCGCCGCTGCTCGTCGAGGCCCCGCAGCGCCTCGGCGGCTTGGTCCGCCCAGTGGAACACCTGCAGACACAACGCCGCCGTTTGGTACACGGTGCTCCAAGTTTCCCCCCTTATTGTCGTCTTATTAGCGCCCAGTTGACAATGTGTGTTTGCAATAGTTTGACAGCCACACACACACACACACACACACACACACACACACACACACACACACACACACACACACACACACAGACCTTGGAGGACTCACTGATCCGCCGGGGCCCAAACGCAGGACTCGGTTTCCCATCAGCCATCACGCTTCCTCACGCGGGCATCCTCTAAAGAACACGCACCACAACGTAAAGGTAGTGTCGCGGTACAACGTCACTGCGTCAGAGCAAAGCCGTGTATCCTCACCTGACGCAGACGTGTCCTCGCGCGCAGGGCCCTTCTGTCCCCCCTTCTGTCCTCCCTTTCTGTCCCCCCCGTGCTTGCGACAGTACGCGGGTCCGTCAGCTGGAAGACACAAACCGTCAACCGTAAGTGACGTCACGTCCTGATGCGCACCGTCGAGGCGGGTTCCCGTTGTTGAGATCCAAAGATGCGCGCGCAACACGAAGCGGTCCCCCGCGTCCTCGTTACTTCCGGCCAGCAGCGGAAAGGAGGCGCAGCTCGATTTAAGGACGAACCGGCCGACGCTCGTCAACGACGGAAAGAGCTTGGTTGCGCTGGACAAACTGTCCAAAAACTCACTTTACAGAGAGACGTGCTCCCCCAAAAAACACGGTTACTTACAGTAAGAAAGAGCCGGTCAGTGTAGCATCTTCAGCTAGCCCCAATAAACAAACGACTTCCGGCGTAGGTTTTCAAAATAACGCCTTGAGTTATTGTTTTTGCTGCACCCGTGGAGCTTCAGACACGGAGGTGACACCTAAATGAGTGACACTACCGCCGGGAACCCACGCGCTCTCAAAAACATGACTGTTTAGATCATTTTCGCTTTGAAATGTCATCACCTCATTAGTATGCCCTTTATTTTGAAACCAAACCCTTTCAGACCGATGACGCGATCGTGTCTACGCGAGTTACGTTCAAGATCTGATCACACGCCGAATTACAGATACCGACCCACACTCACGATGCAGAAACATGCTGCTACCGGTAAGAACCACAATAAAAACAGAACCGGAGAACCTGGTTGAGCCTGTCAATCATCCCAGTGGGCACCGCGGCCCAAGAAGCGCGCCTCTGATTGGCGGAGAGCGGAGGGTCCCGCCCACAAAGCCTGTCTCCATGGTCCTAGATAAAAGGACACTAAACAAGTGAATGTCTTCCATAGCGAAGGCTGCTTTAATACTGTATTTCATTTTCTCCAAACGTCCTTAATTATTGTAGACGATGTAGTTGTGATGGTTATAAATAAGAGCACTTGGATTGTAGGTCTTTAAATGCCTTTAAAAAAGTGGATTTGCAAACGGACACGCGCCTAATCAAAGTCAATATGTAAAATAAATGTATTTGTGTAACATTCAAAATCAAATTTGAATGGAAGCCAAATTGAAATGTAGTCACGTCAAGCGCTGGATCACTATAGAGAAACATCCCAAACATACCTGTAACCACCATGTCATTGAAACGGAGAAACGCTGGTATTAATGATAAAACCCCTAGAAATGATTAACACCAGCGTGTTAAAAAAAAGGTTTTGAGGTGTAACCGACATGCTGTCAATATCTATCTTTTAAAACATAAACATATATCATGTAACAGCATGAAGTACATAAAGCAAAGTAACATTGACTGCAACGTTTTACATCAAGATGCACAAAACGCGTATCGTGAAGGCCGTTGATGTGCATCGATAACGTTTCCGTTCTCATGTGAGCAGCTGCTCCCTGGAACTACTCAGATGGGCTGTTGCTGCACCAGCAGGTGGCGGAGCGGTGCAGTGGTGGAGCTCAGGCCGGGTGGTCGGTGCTGCCCCCCTCCTGCTCGGTCATTATGGAGCAGGTGGAGCTGGTGGAGGCTGCAGGTTGCGCCCGGAAGAAGGGACGACGCCTTTAGCCTCTGTGCTGACTGTACTCCATACAGTACTTTAATGTAGTACAATCTACATGCAATCCCTGCCCGGCTCACTGATTGTGGTGTGTGGATGTGTATCTGTTGTATTCAAGGGGTAGAGTAGCCAAATACTACATCATTCAGGGTAGTGTAGTACTGTGCTGCTTGGAATATGTGGCTGCTCGTATACTTCCAAATAATTGACCTTACAGGACAAAAGCTTGCAACTAAAATAAAACGACTAAAAGCCAAATGTGTGGATTTCAATACCTCCGCACAAGGCAAGTTGGATCCGTTAGAACAAGAAAAACCGGAAGTTGACTGTTTTGCCTTCAGAATAAAACTGACGTGTCTCACTGAAAAATAATATTATATATGCAAAGGTATTTGGCATTTTCTCGCATAAGAAAAGAACGAACTTGTTGTCCTTCCAACAATATCTGATTCCTCAAAGTGCAGCAGTTAGTTTCTGTGCATATATGACATTCTTGTAAACTAATCATTTATTCACCTTCACCTCCATAACAGATCAAATATACAGCAAATGTAAGTAAACTAGACGTTGCTTGTGAGGTTAATGCGCTGTGATGATGAAACCTACTTCAAGAGGAATCTGAAAGTGGCAGCTGGTGTCCTCATCAAGAACACGATGTTGCTGCTTCCTCTTCTCCTTTTACAAATTATTATTAATGTCTCTTTTGGAAGGTTATTCTTTTGTTTCAGTTTAGTTTATTTAATTTAATATTTCTATCTTATTATATTGTATATAATGTGTATCTTTTTATTCTATTTTCTTCCCTGTACATGCTGCTGTGATACCAAAATTTCCCTCTCGGGGGATCAATAAAGTATCTATCGATCCATCCATTTTGAGATGAACCTTAATAAACATATATGTGAACACACATAAAGTCACAATCGGTGAATCAGGAACCAGGAACCATTTGGCTGCAGGAATTCCCCCGTCTCTTTTTTTGTTCAGCTTTATTTTGAAAGTCCTTCCCGGAACATCGGGGTCGGAGCGTTGCGTCTGCCTTAAAGGCGGCCTCACTGCGTCCATCATCCACAAGTAGAAGGTGAACCCATCGGTCTGATCGGCCCAGCAGAGCAGCAGAGCAGCCGGTGCCGGTGCGGAGGTCGTGTGATTTTTTTTTTTGGGAGCGAAGCTCTGCAGCGAGACCCGCGGACCCCCCGATGCGCATCGCCCGCCCGTGAGAGCTTCTCCTTGACGCGGTGCCAGCAGCGCTCTCCGGGTTCGGACCGACACGACGGCGACTTCCACTCTTCCCACTTCTCTCTGAGGGGGAACATGGCGACCCAAATCGACAAAGAGGCTTGCAGAGACGCTTACAACCAAGTCAGAGACGACAACACGGACGTGAACTGGTGAGTGCGCGGCACGCACGTCCCCGCGCGCCGTTAAAGGATGCGATTAATCTAGAAAAAAAAAGAAAAAAAACGCTTAACCTTCGGTGTCGCGCGACTAATGGAAACCCGCCAGCGAACATCCAATGCGTCGATCAATCCGTTTTTACCATCAGATCTTCGTTATAAACGTCCCTTCTGGTGAGCCGGTACCGCCCACTGCGCCTCCGCGGCGACGCGCGGAGGATCCATAAGAGGCTTTGGATAAAACGTCAACTTCTATTGCGAAACCGCGAACCGGGTGCGCGCCGAGTGGAAGACGCGCCCCCGGGGACGCGGACGGCAAGATGCGCCGCGCGTTTTAGTCACGTGAACATCCGCGTTTAACCAACACAACGTTTTAAATTGTTCGATATTTGAAAGCGCGCTGGAGCGGCGCGTCGGAGGCGCTTTGCGGCTCCCATCCTTCCGCCGGGTTCCGCCCTAAAAAGCCAACGCGCGCGCGCGCGCACGCTGGACGCAGCGCCCCGTCCCGTCCCGTCCCGTCCCGTCCTCGGCTGATCCCGTCCGATCCGCGTTCTGCGCCAGCGGCCTCACGCTGCACCCGCACCAGGCCCCCGGCGGGGCAGCAGTAATTTCCTTTGTCCCGTATTCACAGAGGATAACGTTATAGTCGTGACACATGCACATGGCCGATACGCCCCCCTCCCCTCCTCACCCCCCCACCATACCACCTCCACCTCGCATCGGGGGGGTTTTGCGGGGCGATCTTGTGTGCATTGCTGCAGTTTGCATAAATAACAAATAAAAAAATGGGGGGGCTCGATGTGCGCCACAATGTCGCAGGTGGCGGTAAGTAACGCCGGTGGTCGTTGTGCATCCTCCAGGGCCGCGTTCAAATACGAGGGCGCCATGATCCTGCCCGCAGGGACCGGGGCGGACTACGAGGACTTTAAGAGCATGTGCACAGGTAAGCGCTGGATCTTATTGTGTGTGTGTGTGTGTGTGTGTGTGTGTGTGTGGACGGGGCCACGCGGCTTGACGTGGCAGGACACTAATCCCTTAAGACGCCCGGTGCTCCGTCACCCACCGGCCCCCTGAGCCCTGCAGCCGGACCGCGCCGCGTAATCTCTCCCGCAATGTCCTGTCTTTGTCTTTCACAAGACGAAGCGCTTAATCTCTCTGTGTGTTGCTCTCGTGAATCTGCTACGTGGAGCTGTGGGAACTTTAGGTTCCCCCGTCGGGTCGGCGTTCATGTTCACCTGTTGCTTCTTCTTCCAGAATAGCACCTCCATCGGGATTACATGAGTGAATTAACGCAGCAGACTTGTGGAGCCGCTTTGGTTCGTCTCAAGAAGAGAAAGGGGAGCATTTACGAAGCGTCTGGCGTGGACGCGTGCTGCTCTGCCGGGTGTGGCTCTCTGATACATTGTTGCCTCTTTTGCTGCACAAGGTCTGCTGATTTAAAATGTGGCGCCACGCAATCACTTATTTAGTCGCCGTCGTGAATTCTTCATGGCGCCTCGGGGGAAACCCGGCGTCTCCTGAAGGCGTCCTGTCCTCCCACAATTGCTGTTCTAGTAAATATTGCATTTTGTCGTGCTGATGGCTTCAATGGGACCGTGACCTTTCCTCTAGCGCCACCAGCGGGTCAGAGTTTCGCATGTTTGCACGTCTTGTGCGCAGTTTGCACAAGAATGCTGAACTCCATTCGCGCTGACCCCGATGGACTGGGGTTCCTCCGAGGTTCTTCTAGGTCGGCTCCAAAGGTGAAGCAGGTGGTGTTTGGTTGAAATAGAACTGGTCCGTTCTGTGGGACGCGTGAATCGGACCAGCAGCTTCGCTTGCGTTCCGTCTGTCTGTCAGAACGTCGTCCGAAAACCGTGGAGCTCCTCCACCAAGGGACCCTAGATGATAAAGACCCGGTTGGATGCATCCCCCTTGGGAGATGATGACCTCACTCATGGAGAAAAGTGCAGAGTCAGCGCGGCTCGAGGAAAGACGGAACCGGGAAACAAAAGTGAGGAAGTATGCGTTTTGAGAGTGGAGGCAAAGGGTCACCGGGTGTCGAACCTCTCAGTGTCCTTCATTGCTGAACCCGATAAGACCCCTTTATGGTGGCTGCTCCGCTTTAACGTGCGGCGGCTCTGATCTGAGAACACGGCCACGGAGGAGGTCTGATAACTGCTGATAACGTAGGAACTCTGTGTGAGTCTGTGTGCAAACCGTCGTCACGCACGAGTGGCTGGAATGAGCTTCCTCATTGTGTCGTCACTGTGAAATGGGAGCAGTTTTTCGGACCGGGTCCTTTTTTTTTTAAAGGATCCTCGTGGTGTTTTGACAAGTATGTTGCAGACGTTTCGTTGAGACCCAAAGGATCGACCTGTGGTGCGATCGACTCTTCGGTCCGTCGTCAATTGAAACGGGTTCAGTCGAAGTGGTGAAAACCGAATCTTAAAAGCGTTCCTAATATCTTAAACACACTTTTCTTTTCAGTCGGCACATGAGTTGCTCAATAGTTGAGAGCACAGGAAGCTGATGGCTGAACGTCCGGTTTCAGCCGCTTGGCTGGTGACCTTTTTAGGGCTCTTTGATTTGAGAATATTATTTATGTGATGGTAGTTGTCTTTATTGTTGCGTTACAGACAAACCGCTTCTTTAATTATAATACGGGGGGAGATGAAATCCAGCGTTCTTTAAACGGGAAACAAACCGACATAAATCACTTGTCTTGTGATCTTGGCGCTGCGTAGAAAATGAAACCCGGAGACTTCCTGGGTTTTGAGGGGGAACCCAAACCTCTTTAACAACGCTTTTAATTCACGCTGTTTATTTCACTTCCCAGTTTAAATGATGGCCTTGTCTCCGTCGGCCTTTTGGAGGCGTGTTCGTGTTCGTGGCTCTTTTCTTCCCCTCTGGCAGTTTTTGGCTGCGGCTTCTCTGTTCCCTTTTTACAAGTGACAGAAATCCACCGAGTACGACTCTTGTTTTAAAAAAAAAAAAGACCTCTCCAGTGAAGAGATCCGTCAAGAGTTTCCACATCCGGACATGTCAGCTGTTTATTGGTTGCAAAAACACAACGTGGCGACGGCTTTTCATTCAAACTCAAAAGGTTTCCTTAAATCGCTCGTACAAGCCACTTAAGAGCCGATGGGTTTGTCACCAGTGCAGCTTGCGAAAAGGCTCATTGTTTCAGCTGAATAGGTTCTGGAGGCCTGAGGGGGGGTTCTGGAGGTCCTGGAGGCTTGAGGGGGGGTCCTGGAGGCCTGAGGGGGGGTCCTGGAGGCCTGAGGGGAGGTCCTGGAGGCCTGAGGGGAGGTGGGGAGGTCCTGGAGGCCTGAGGGGAGTTCTGGAGGCCTGAGGGGAGTTCTGGAGGCCTGAGGGGAGGTCCTGGAGGCCTGAGGGGAGGTGGGGAGGTCCTGGAGGCCTGAGGGGAGGTCCTGGAGGCCTGATGGGAGTTCTGGAGGCCTGAGGGGAGGTGGGGAGGTCCTGAAGGCCTGATGGGAGTTCTGGAGGCCTGAGGGGAGGTGGGGAGGTCCTGGAGGCCTGAGGGGAGGTGGGGAGGTCCTGAAGGCCCGATGGGAGTTCTGGAGGCCTGTTGGCACATGAGTGAGGTTCTGGAGGCCTGAGGGGGTGCAAGCCGGGAGAAGAAAGCGCCACAAATGTTTTGGCGTCTCATGCAGGAAATGTTCAGGTTTCAGCTGCTCGGACTCCACCGCTGCGTTTGGAACCTTAAAAAAAAAAAAAAAAACAGAACCTTTTTGTATTCATCTGCGTTCCAATGTGTGAACCTCGGCTGCACTGTTCTGATTCTCAACGCGGCCTCTTCCGTCTCCTCCCTCAGATGACGCCCGCCTGTTTGCCTTCGTGCGGATCACGATGGGGGACGCCATGAGCAAACGGGCCAAGTTCACCCTGATCACCTGGATCGGCGAGAACATCAGCGGGCTGCAGCGCGCCAAGATCAGCACCGACAAGGCGCTGGTCAAAGAGATCGTGCAGGTCAGCGGCTCGCGCGTCGTGAAGCTGTGTGGTTTTTCGGTGAACGGATCGTTTGCAGAGAGTCGGACAAATGATGGTTTTTATTCAATCAAGGAATCCTCATGAAGACATTTAGCTTAGCTTAGCTTTAGTTGGGAAAGCCTTTTTTATCAACTCTTTGTTAAATGAAATGTTAAAGACACAATGCAGTGAATAATCAGCCTAATTTCAGAGAGCTATGTTAACCGCTACAGACATGCTATCGGTTAGCTTGATAGCGACAGTCTTTTCACACATTTTGTGTTATAAATTTCTATAGCAGCTACTAGTGAATTTGTGCGGTTGGCTCATCCGAGGGAAACATGGACGCGCCTCACCGTGAAGACTAACCTCCACCCTTTGGACTAGCTTCCGAAGCGCTTATGCTAATCCCTAGCATTCACATGGCTTGAGCTAATGCTAATTACTAGCATACACATGTCCCAGCTTTTCATGTAAGAATCCAATTCACGGCGCTCTCCCTTAACGCTAATCATAACGTCACTCAAGATGCTAGCGACTAGCATTAACTAGCAGCGCTTGAGGTTAGCATAAGCTATTTCAACGGTTATAAACAATTAAATCTGGCTAAATATTCTACCAACATATAGCAAGTCCTGCCGGTTACGCGGTGCTCTTCTGTAACGTTAGCATGAAGTTGTGGGAATTAGCAAGCTAGCTAGCTAACGCGCTAAGCTAGCTAGCTAACGCGCATGGAAGTTTTAACAATTATTGTTTCTTTGTCCCCACATTGTTGTCACACCATATGTGAGCACTTTACTATTGTAAAGTGCTCACATACGCTAATTCACAACATTTAGCACGGCGCCAATATCCCAATTTAAAGTAGATCAAAGCCTAAATGAGCCAATTATTGACGATCTCTGAAGAAAAAAAAATCATGTTTGTATTTTTTGCGATCCGTATAAAAAAAAAATGCACAATATAAAAAAAAAAAGGCACAATATGTTCCCATTCTGCTACGCGTGAAAAGTAACTGGATTTTCTGAACGTGTTTTTTTGTATTCCAGAACTTTGCCAAGGAGTTCATGTTCAGCGACCCGAGGGAACTGGACGCGGACAACATCCGCACAGAGCTGAAGAAGGCCGGCGGAGCCAAATACGACGCACAGGCCGAGTAGAGCAGTGCCGTGGTCCACTGGACGGGTGGGGAGGGGGGGTGGGGTCAGGGAGGGGTGTGCCGCTGAGGGTGGAGGTTGGAGGTTGGGCAGAGGGCGAGGGCGGGGGGAAGGCTTTACGAAAAGGGAAATGCCCGCGCAAACAAATGTGAGTTGCAGCAGGACCAGCGTAAATCTAATGCGACCCAACGCTGAACACCGGCTTAATAGAAAACTGTAGTTCCCTTATTTTTACCATTAACAGCTTCAGTAAGACAGGCGACAGCGCATTTTCCTCAAAGTCCGGGTCTCGGTGGCCCGAGGCTTGTCCAAATGACACCAACATATGAAAGGTGTGAATGAATTGGCCATCTCGTCCAGCTTACAGAGTCGTGTCGTTGCACAAATAGAGACTCCACTGAACGCGTTCCGTACAGCATGATTAGTTTATTTGCAGTGCAAATGCTCCGAAACATTAACCCTCATTGGTAAATACAACTCAGAGGCTTATTCATGCATTAATGCTAACGTTTTACCCGTACAATATGTGTTACCCCGGTGTGTGAATCCCCTAACGTGAGAAGATAAACAGCACTTTCTTGTCTTTGAGCGGAATAACAACATTAGCTTAGCATAATGGAACAAGGAACGGCTGTCCGGCGCTGACTACCAGCACTTCTGAAGCTAATGAACAAACTTTCTGTCCCGTTCCAAAACCAGCGGCGCTGCTAACTGCATTTCTAGACTGGACCAATCAAACAAAGAGGCCCCGTAAATTAAACCGCATTCAAGGCGCTGGTATGATTCTAGTTGTTTTTCTCCCATTTTCCCCCCTATGTTAAGTCTCGGTACTGAGCTAAGCTAACTGGCTGCTAGCCGTAGCGTCAGATAGGCGAGTGAGGGGGGGTCTACCTTCCTTCCTCGCCACTCGCGGCCCGTGCCCTCTTCCCCAGGAGGTCCGTGGTTGGCCATCGCGCTCCTCCTCATCTCAGCCGGGCGACGGGGGGGAAGTTTCCACGTGACGGGGACCAAACTTTTAGGAAGCTCTTTGTGTTTGACAGCGGAGCTCTCGGTCGCGACACACTGTACCTCCGGCAGGAGAAGATCTCCGCTCTCTAACCATGTGCTTGATGCTTTGTGGCTGCTGTGAGTAACGCCGAGTCATGTCGTCCACGTTTAGCTCCTCGTCTGCAGCCAGACTGCTGTGTTTTTGGATTGTAGCCTCAAAGTTGACCGTTGCGGACTGCAACTCACCCGTCTGTCTTCATACTTGTGCTTTGTGCTGTGAATCCCTGCTTATATTTAGTCCAAATGTGGCTTTTCTTCGTGAATGATCAATTCTGGACCTGATTGCATTGCTCTTTACTTTCCCCCTCCGCTTTTTGTTGGGCGTGATCAATGGAAGCCGTGGCAGAATCAGAGCACGCGATCTAACGGCAGGCTTTCCGCCTGTAGATATTAAGCCACAAGAACACCGACGAACAGCTGATAAATTGTCCACGGCAGCAGTTATTGTCAAATATTGAATGTTTTCCCCCCGAAATTCAAAAAAAATTTCCCCCCCCCCCCCCCCCCCTCCCCCCGGGCCGGAGATCTTTCCCTCTGGTGATTCATCTCACAATCTACCGCTCGGAGGTCCACGCCTCCTGTAACCCGCTGTGTTTGACTGCCTTAGCCTCCCGGGGAGAGAGGGGCATCATGGGAGCTGGTGAACACTACACTGTGATTGGCTGTCATGCTCGCATTGGCAGCGGGACGCGGTGAAGAGCCATTTTCCCCGTTGTAGCATCTCTTGTTTATTTGGTTTCGAGTCCTCTCTCTCCTCCCCCGTCCCTTCAAAATAAATCAATGGATGTTTTTCTTGTACCTTTTTTTTCTTTTTTTGTTTGTTATTTTTAGATCAAGTTTATTTTCTCCGAAGAGTCTTACCTTTTTTTTTATTTCATTTTTAAGAGCATTGTTGTTGCTCATTGGCAGAAGAGATTTTCAAAAAAACGAAATTATGGTTGGAAAAAAAAAAAAGAGGAAGAAAGAAAACTGAGTGGGCACAAGATCTGTCATTTCAAAATAAAATTGATGTTTTTTTTCCAAAAGTTAAGCGTCTTGTGTGTCTATTAAGCATTAATTCTAAACTGGTTCTTCACCATCTCATGTTATACGACGTTTTACAACCATAAATAACCTGTTGGACCCCGTCTGTGCTTCAGCCATAATCCTCTAGAAGGGCCACAAACTTCGTTCATAACATTGACGCGTAATCCGACATCTCGGATAAGCACACGTGCACTTCTTGCCCTGCACCTCGGGGCCGTGACGGGGACTGTTTAGGACACGGAGCAGCTTAGCGTTTACCTGAGGGGTTTCCATGGTTACCGGTGCAGCGACGCGCTCTCCTGTTAGGGCATTAAATAGCTGAATACATAACTTATTTAATGTTAGTCATTCCAGAAGCAGCGTTACCGAGTTACTTATCAGCGCGCTAATGTGGTGCAGTTTGCTTCCGTGTTTTCTGCTGCGCCGACATCCCACTTCCTTCCTTTTTATGCAGTTCAATCGAGGTTTGAACGGTTGCATTAGTTGCACCCGGCAACGACGGATGTCCTTCATGCATAGTTCTGCTACAGCTGACGAACGCGTCGATGGCTTCGAGACTCGGCTGCTGGTCAGACGTGGCTTCAGTTCAGCCCGTGCGTGTGCGTGTGCACGTGCACGTGCTCCGCAGTGATCCATACGGACTAATCGCCGCTTGCATAATGACGGAGCTCTGGTGTCGCTCTGTTGGGAAGTGACAGTTGACCATTGTGGGAATTAAAGATGTCATTTAGATTCATTTTATCTTTGGGGGCGTTTATAAATAATCATTTAGTTGCACGTTGCAGAAAATGAGGAAGCGTTGGTGGTCCTCAACACGACTGCACACATTTATTGGTGGATCCCGCGCAGGCCGCACACGGGAGAAGGGATGAAGCCACTCGCTCAGATCAGCATGTCAGTGTGCGTTTTTCAAACCACAAGCATGAAACAACATCAGCCCTGCTGCTGGAGCAACACCTGGTCAGTGCGGGTGGAGAGCGGACTTGTGATGAGCACTGCCAACCCGGCGAGGACCATTCCAGTGGCTCTCCTCCTGGAACATCTGGATCTGAAACGGCTCAGTGCTGTGACGTGAACCCAGCTCTTCCATCATTCAGCTACGTGCTTGTCAATGAGGCTGGTCGGACTAAAAAAAGCTTAAATAAGTCATGATGACATGATGAGATATAACTATTTGAGGAGCGTCTCTCGTGGGAAGCGTCTTCTCTCGGGGCGTGAAGGAGACACACGGGATCCGGCCTCCCTGCTGCTGTCACGCGTGTCTCCGGAGGAACCGATCGCCCACATCCAGGAAAACAATCGTCGGGCTTTGTTAAACACGAACGTGGCGGTTGTACCTTTCACGGTTGGTCCACGGCCTCTTTACGGAGTACAAAGTCCCATTTGACTTTCCTTTCAAGCCCTTGCAGAGCCGGTGAGGTCAATGAGGTCCCTGAGGGTTCAGGCTGAAGGTTCTGGGGGGGACATTGGGATATGGCTTCAGCACTTCGATTGGTCCCTGCAGAGCGGCACCACTCAGACCCTTCCTGCATTCCTCGGGCCGCCTCAACACGGCAGCATATTTTACAACCCACAGGGAGTCATGTGCTCTGTCCAAGCATGCGTGTGCGAGGACAAAGAGAGAAAGGCAAGAATTGTCTTTTGGACACCCGTCGTGTCCACGTGTTGGCGACGGACTTGTTTGTTTTTTCTGTCCGTGTTTAGAAGCAAAGTGGATGATGGTGGGCTGCTTTTGGTCATTTTATATAACCAAATATAAATATGTTGTATGTAAATACAACATATTTATATAATAAATAATAAATAACAAAGTATTTATAAATAATAAATAAAAATACAATATTTATAAATAATAAAATAAAATAAAATATTTATAAATAATAAATGAAATAAAATTTGTTTATAATAAATATGTTGTATGTGCATATAAGTATGTGTGTTGGTGGATGTAGTCACAAAGTGAACTCGGGTGTCGCGTTGACACTAAACCTCTAGGTTGTTTCAGGTTATTTTACATAACCAAATATAAATATGTTGTATGTAAATACAACATATTTATATAATAAATAAAATAAAATATTTATAAATAATACAATATTTATAAATAATAAATAAAATTTAAATATTTATAAATAATAAATAAAATAAAATATGTTTAGAATAAATATGTTGTATATAAATACAACATATTTATATAATAAATCAAATAAAATATGTTTATAATAAATATGCTGTATGTGAATACAACATATTTATAAATAATAAACTATTTATAAATAATAAATAAAATATTGAATATTTATAAATAATAAATGAAATAAAATTTGTTTATAATAAATATGTTGTATGTGCATATAAGTATGTGTGTTGGTGGATGTAGTCACAAAGTGCACTCGGGTGTCGCGGTGACACTAAACCTCTAGGTTGGTCTTGGCGGCGAGGACGCTCTAAATCAGCAGCAAAGACAAAGACAATCAGTTCAAGGCCAAAACGGGGGGTTGTGTCTCTGAACTGCCTGTTTATTACCTCATTTATGTGTATATGTATTTAGTCTGGACTGCAACACTGTGAGAGACGCTCTAAATGTCTAATCTAATCTGTGACATGTGCGTCTGCTCCTGTTTAAACATCTCTAATAGCCCACAAAAAACAATGTTTGCCTCCAAACGCTGAAAGGCTGAAACACTCACAGCGGTAAAATCATCAGCAGTGTGAGACATTTAGTTTGGAGAACAAAAGCCTTTCAAAATGTAGTCCGTCGGTTTCTCTTCACGTTGGATCTTTGTCTGTTTGACTCATTCAGCATTTGGTTGGTCACGGCTCAGCAGGGGGCCCAGATCCAAGCAGACCAGAGTGCTGCGAGGCCGTCAGGCCTGTCAGTCAACGGTGAATCAGCTCATAACGTCTCCAAGGACGTGTTTTGGATGGGCGGACGTGATGCATTCGTTTGTAAGACCGTTTTCCTTTTGCTTTCATAAGAGTCATTGTTGCACTTTGTTTGTTGTAATGTGAATAATTTACAAGCTCTTATTACCAGCAGAAAGCTCGTCGTGGTCTTTGGCGGAGCTCCTCCCACTAATTGACCGACAGAGCTGTAATCCACCAATCGAGCTCCAGGCTTTATATTCTCCAGCCGTCCACTCGCTCTTCCCCAGATCGTCAGGCCACAAACCCGGAACTTATGCTGCGGCTAAAACACTCACCACCTCACGTTGTGTCTCCGCCTCAGGTCCTCTGCTCCTCTGGATTCCTTTCAGCCTGCATAGTGGACTAGGCCTGCTGCAGCCTGCATAGTGGACTAACTATGCTGCAGCCTGCATAGTGGACTAACTATGCTGCAGCCTGCATAGTGGACTAACTATGCTGCAGCCTGCATAGTGGACTAACTATGCTGCAGCCTGCATAGTGGACTAACTATGCTGCAGCCTGCATAGTGGACTAACTATGCTGCAGCCTGCCCACCGTCCCTCCAGCCAGCTCACATCCTTCCACCTCTTGGTTCTTTACAACAAAGACGAAGCGTTGCTGCTCTGCTCTGTGGTCCAGCACCACATGACGTAGTTACTAGAAATAGGGCCCGTTGTCTCGTCTTGGGGTGCAGGACCGGCGCCACTTACTTCAATGGGAGTGAAATGTAAATTGCAAAGGTTTTGGGGGCCACCCTGAGACGTGAAGAGGGAGAGAGGGGGAGATCATGTGTGGCGGGTGGACGAAGGGCTGTTGGGGGGGGGGGGTTCGGGGGTCTCTCTGTTCAGACGCTTGCCGGCCATGTGACAAGAGGGGGGCGGGCAGGGGTCCCTCCTGCACACAGGGAGGCCATTTGTTGTTTCACTAAGGACGCGGGGGCCCTTTTCTCTCCCCCCCCAAAAGGAGCACTTTCTCACAGAATCCCAACAAGGGGCCTTTTTTTTAAACCGATCACCTTTGTTTTAAACGAGGACCCCCCCCCCCCCCCCCCCCTCTTATTTAAAGACGTCATCTGTGTTGCTTCATTTTTTTGTGCAGAGTTCTGACTCGGCACAGTGAACGGGACGGGAACACCGCTGCATCATGTGCGGCGTTGGCGACGACAGTGGCGTTTGTTTCCGAGGCCAGTTGTCGCCTGTCGGAGCCGATGCCCCTTTGTGCGTCTCACACAACCGCTGCGCTTCCTTCTCTCCCCATTTAACTTACACGACGCACCGCGAATCCATTTGCCGCTGAAGCGTTTAATCAAACTATAACTCTCGGCTCCGCACGGATCAGCGAAACCCGGTTAGATGGTCATTCATTTATTTAACCTTCTGCATCCAAAGGTCGAACCGCTTCCGCGTTTCTGTACGGACATTTATGACGAGAATGAAGGACTGGAACTGTGAGTTTGTTATTTCCCTGTTTCTATTTACGGTTGTTTAACCCCTTTTTGCTGCGATCTCGTTCTTCTGGTCTCCTTGTGTCTCCTTGTGGTCTCCTTGTGGTCTCCTTGTGTCTCATTGTGTCTCCTTGTGTCTCCTTGTGGTCTCCTTGTGTCTCCTTGTGTCTCCTTGTGGTCTCCTTGTGGTCTCCTTGTGTCTCCTTGTGGTCTCCTTGTGTCTCCTTGTGTCTCCTTGTGTCTCCTTGTGGTCTCATTGTGTCTCCTTGTGGTCTCATTGTGTCTCCTTGTGTCTCCTCGTGTTATCTTTCTCGTCGTCGTTCATCCTTCATCCGCGTCTCATCCTGGTTGCTGGCGAGGACGTCACAGCGTGGGTTTTGTTGTGTAGTGTCCGGCCTCTCGTGTCCCCGGGTTGACTTCCTGCTTCCTGCCCTGGTGTGTTTTCCTCATCACGTGCCACATCCCCCCCCCGCTGTTGTCTCTGGCGTTTTCCCTCCGACCTTCACTGGCGTGCAGAGACTTGTCCTGGCCGTGTGCTTGTTGCTCCCAAACGATGCGCTTTGTTTTCTTTTAGGTCGCACTTGTGCGTTTTGATGAGACGACTCCGCCACCTTAACTAGCCGGTGCACGGACGCCGATCGCGGGGAGATTGATTTGTTGTGCTGAGACACGTTTAACGGCCGCTGGCGGCCTGACGCAAGTCGTCACTGGTGCAACGCGGCGCCTTAAGACACGATCGGTTTGCGTTTGCGGCTCATGCAGCATTCGTACGTCTGTGCAAACGACCTCCAGATTCGAGAAGGTCTCGTTGTCACCTGAAAGCAGGTGTTTTGGTACTTGGCGGACGTACCCGGGGGGGGGGTACTGCTGCAGATGTAACAGCACGGGACGCGTCACCCACTGAACGCGCTGCTGCTGCAGGTACGTCAGAGGATACGGCCAACGTGTCTCGCTGGCGTCCGATTGGTTGAATCATGTGTGACGTCTCTGCTGCTGCACAGAGACGCAGAGGAAGAGGAGCTGCGAAGACGAGGAGATGAACACACGCAGTGCGTTTATTAAAACAGTACATATCGTGTGGCTCAGCTGACCCGGACGGACCACCAGTTGGTTCTTTGTGTTTGTGTGTTTGCGTCGGGTTGATTATATTGTTGCACACTCACGCAAATATTTCCAGTTGCCAAATATTACACGAGAACGTTCTTACAATTAGTGGGTTTAGAAGCTTAATGAGATTACGTTTCTTGCAGCCAATACTTCTTGCATCAAGTGTCACCAGCGGTTTGTTGTTCGCAAGTCTAGACATTCAAGTCCAAGGTCGAGTCGGGTCCCGGGTCTGGTCCCGGGTCAGGACCGGCAGGTCCTGGTTCTCCTCACAGTTTACGTCCCAAATCAGTATTTACAAAGTGATGTCCGCAGTGATTGGTGGTAAAGTCAATCGAGTAACCTCCAGTCATCAGACTGCAGCGTGTTTTCCTGTGTCTCACGAGATCGGCCTCTGCGCGCCGGGACGTCGCTCGGCTAAGAACCGTGTCCACTTTAAACGACGCCCGCCCCGTTTGACTTCCTCCGGGAGACGCGTGCAGAGCGACCCACATGTAAGAACGACCTTTGACCTTCACCCGCTGGACGGAGAACACAGACAAAACGGAGAAAGCGCAAGTGAGCTACAATTACCCCAGAGAAGCATTTCCTAAAGCGCACGAGAAGACTTTGAAGGCCTCGCCGAGTCTACGTGCGGCGTGCGGCTTTTTTTTTTTTTTTCTCTCTCTCTCTCTCTCTCTCTCTCTTCTTTTCAAACGTGGCATTCAAATAGCGTATTTCCTGTGCAGCGGCGACAGCAGCGAGCCCTTTTACCATATAGGGATGCAGCCGAGAGGAGGCCCCGGCATGCGAAGGGAAGAGAAAAGAAGAACCGGCGAGTCCCGGCACGCACGCCGCGATCAAGACAGGGCTCCGTTTTATTGAGACCTGTGAGCAACACGCAAAACCCCCGTGTGCGCCGTCTGGTTCACTGACAAATGGAGAAATGAAAGCAGCCAGATGGAGACTAAACGGGTCTGAGCTTCACCTTTTTACAACTGTACACTCAATATATATATAAAGTTTCCGGGCATTTGGAACTTGCGTCCTTTGCGTCTCAGCTTTCAGAGAGTTTCAGACTCTGAAGGAACAAGTAGCCAAAACATAAGCCACAGTCTACAGGTCTAATGATCAACATGGTTGCCATGCCCACAGTAGGTAGTGCTCTCTTTATGTGGGCCGGCAGGCTACAAGGTCAAATGTCACCCAGATGTCAACTTTGGGAACTTGTGCAGTAGACGCACGCCGGACGACTCGGAAAACCATCGTCTGGCTGTTTTGTCTTCTCGTTCATCTATCGGTATCCTGTTTGCGCGTCACCTTCACCTTCCACCGTCTCACCAACGTCAGCGCATCCACTGTCCTACAGGACCTCATTGCAATGCAACACACCCACGGGGGGGGGGGGTGGGGGGGGCCCCTCACGCGGCGCACCGCATGCCCTTAAAAGGCGCTTTTCAAGTGTCTGCCGTGCGGGTCTCCGGCTGCTCCTGTGCAGACTCTGCTGGTGGAAGATGGACTGCACTTTCTGCTCGCGGCGCCCCGTCGATCGGCAGGCGTCTGCGTGGGCGTGATGGATGATGGGTGGCCGATCGGATTGGGGGACAGTGGCGTTGTCGGTGTCTACTTTGTATCGCCTGTGCAAAACGTTAAAATAAAAAGTGTAAACCACACTTCAGTTCAAATGAATGGCTTCATTTAGTCTCATTTTTCTGACGCTTTACTTGTAAAATCCGGTTGTTCCTGCTGGAGGGGTCGAAGGGCCACAGCCCTCATTGATTTAAAAGCTTAATATATGAACATGTATAAAGGCTTTATATATATATCTGTCTCGTCCCGCTCTCCAGCGCCCCCTGCCGGAGCCCCGCGGCATCGCCGCGCACCTACACTGCGCATGCGTCGCTCGAAGGCCTCGCTCGGCTCACACACAATTTAGCGGTTTTTGCAGACTGGAGAGCTTGAGCTGCGGTGCTTCTACGGCTCTGCGTCGCCGTCCGGGTGCGCTTCTTTTCGGGGGGAACGAGCTCCTTCTACGCCCGGAGTGTCGCGGAGGAAACGTGAGGTAAGGACGGCGCTTTTGCTACCTAGCCTAGCTTAGCCGAAGCTAACAAACCGCGGCGGACAACGGCGGCCGGGCCGGCAGCTAGCTGAGAGCTGCTAGCATTACCCGAGAGCCTCTGCGCGGCTCCGCGCGTCACGTGACGCGCGTCAGCGGATCGCCGAGGAGAAGGAAGCGCGGTGAGCAGCGGCTGTTTCATCACGTAAATCCACGCTTCGCGGCGTTTGACGTCTTATTTCGGCCCTGGGAGACGACACGAGGGACGACGCGCACGTACGACATTTTCGGACGGAGTTTAGTTGCTTTGTTCGTCAGTAATTTGTCAGCTTGAGAATCGGTTTGAGATCGATCCTCATTGCTATTGTGTGTAAGACGGTCAAGGCGCATGTGCCCCAAAAGTAACGTGGAAAAACAGTAAAATCGTGTGTGCTACAATGCATACAAATATTTATTAAAATTCCAAAACAAATGATTGACATCTTTGCAAAAGGCGTAGGCAGCTGGATGGAGTTACTGGCTCTGGGGGGGGGTTGGTGTTAAACAACGGGCCTTGGTCCTCACTGTGGTCGCGTTCGCAGGGCATCATGGGAAACGCGGAGAGCGTGGTGGTGAAGAAGCGTCTGGCCCGCTTCCGCCCCGGCGAGCTGCCGGCGGTGGAGGGCGTCTTCCACAGGCTGCTGGGCGCCTCGGCGGCGGGGGAAACCGCTCTGACTCTGGCGATGCTGCAGGTGAGACCGCGCCGGGCGGGGGGGGGGCCGCGAAGGGGGCACGCCGTGACCCGTATGTCTATAATCAAGCGCTCCTTTCGCCCGTCCCCCCGCCCCCAAGTCCTCCATGGGCAGCGTGGCGCCGGACTCCATGGTGAGGAGGCTCTACCGCTGCATGTGCCGCATCGACCCGGCAGCTGCAGGCGAAGCCGCCGCCGCGGCGTCCTCCGCGGTGAGCCGGGAGCAGCTGGTCATCTTCCTGGCCGACGTCCTGCGAGGCACCGCCGAAGAGCGGGCTCCCCTCGTCGTGGCCATGTCCCAGCGCGGGGACGAGGCCGGGGCGTCTGTGCCGCGCGAGCGGCTGGCGGAGGTGAGCGGGCGGCGCCGTGCGGCACGTCCCCCCCCCCCCCTCGTCCCGGCGCCCTCCGTCCTCACTCAAGCTCTTTCTCCTGCAGTTCCTCCAGGACCTGATTTCGGCTGTAGTCCAGACCCTGGTCCACAGGGGGCACCTGCAGGCCTGGCAGCCGGAGAAGATGGGTGACCAGTCGCGGGGCGTCGAACTCCTGGCGGAGCAGATTTGTTCTGAACTCGGACCCTCGGGTACACGGAGATGGTTTTGGACCCCCCCCCTCTACGCGCCACCTCCCCCGTAAACGTCTCCGTTCTTCTCCTCTCCTCAGATCAGGCAGGTCATGACGTTTCCTCTGTGGAGGACTGGATCTTCAGGATGTCCCAGGTGTCGTCGTACCTGGAGATGCTGGTGGCCGAGGGCCTGGACGTGTCCCTGGGCGGCCGGCCGGCCCCCCGCCTGCTGCCCCCCTGCAAAGAGACGCCCTGGAGAGACCTGACGCGCGTGCTGCTGGACGTTCCCACCCTGATGTTTCTGGCCGCACAGGTCAACGAGCTCATCGATCATTTGCTTTAAAACAGCTTAGCAGTTTGTTTTTTAATCATCTAGCAACTTAAAATCCCCCCTTTGACCTTTTGCCCTTTTGAACGACACACTCGCACAACTCCTGTGCCCCTTGCAGCTGCCGGACGGCTGCAGCGCCCCCTGGAGGCTGGTGTTCTCCACGCAGCTGCACGGGGAGAGCTTCGCCCGCATGGCGAGCGGCCTGACGAAAGGGGGCGGCCCCACGCTGCTGCTCGTCAGAGACGCCGGGGGCCACGTGTTCGGGGCCTTCGCCTCCCGCGGCTGGGAGGTCAAGCCCCAGTTCCAGGGTGAGCGCGTGAGAAGCACGCCGCCGTTCGACTGCCGTAGAGCGCGGCGCGGGGCTGGACACGGGGAACGCGGCCATCCTCACGACATCTTCACTCAACAGAGCATAATCTCTGTGCCCGCAGGCGACTGGAGGTGCTTCCTGTTCACTGTCTCCCCCCGACTGCGAGTGTACAAGGCGACCGGGAACAACGAGCACTACAAGTACCTCAACCACGGGCAGCAGACCATGCCCAACGGCCTGGTGGGGCTCCTCCTCCTCCTCCTCCTCCTCGAGCTTTCTGATATTCAGTTTCCTGCTGACAAACTGGTCACGTTTGTGTTTTCGTCCCCCCCCCCCCTCAGGGAATGGGCGGTCAGCACGGGTACTTCGGCCTGTGGCTGGACAGCGACTTCGGCCGCGGCCACAGCCGCGCGCGGCCCAAGTGCACCACCTACGGCAGCCCCCGGCTCTCCGGCGAGGAGGACTTCTCCGTGGACTCGGTGGAGGTGTGGGCGGTGGGCAGACCCCCCGCGCCGGAGGAGGTCAGAGCCACTTCATTTAATGGACGAAAATGCAGCCGGACGGCGTGCGTTTCCACTGGGACCGGTGAACAAAGCAGCGGGGAGACTCGCTCACATTCGCTCCTTCCGTGTGTTTCAGGACGAGGACGGCGGCTGCAGGAAGAGCGTCCTGGATGCGGATCTAGAGGTCCAGGCCATGATGGAGATGACGGGGAAGACCCTGCACAGTCAGGGCCTCAGGGAGCCGGAGGAGGACCAGTGAGGGGCCTCAGGGAGCCAGAGGAGGAGGAGGAGGACCAGGGAGGGGCCTCAGGGAGCCGGAGGAGGAGGAGGAGGAGGACCAGGGAGGGGCCTCAGGGAGCCAGAGGAGGAGGAGGAGGACCAGGGAGGGGCCTCAGGGAGCCGGAGGAGGACCAGGGAGGGGCCTCAGGGAGCCGGAGGAGGACCAGGGAGGGGCCTCAGGGAGCCGGAGGAGGAGGAGGAGGCCCAGCGAGGGGCCTCGGGGTCATATGTCACATGCAGCATACGACCCCGAGGTTTCTCCTTCCCTGCCTTCCGCGCAGCACCTACCTCACCTCGCCGGGTTCTTTTAATTATTCTAGAATGAAAACGATGAAGAATGATGGTGGGAAAAGTCTTTATTTCCCTTCTTTTTGTTCAGCTGCACTATTTCAGGCTGGTGGATTTTGTTGTTGTTTTCCCACAAGAGACTCGTGTTCTCGATGGCACTGAAAGCATTCGGGTTCTTCTCCCAGGCAAGCTTTAATTTACATATCATTATAATTTATAATTATATTACATTATAATTACATCACGTGTCGTTTATCTGACGCTTTTATCCAAAGCGACTCACAATAAGAACATTTCAACCATAAGGAAACAAACTCAGAAGAACAAGAAACAAGTGCATTTTTCTCAAATAATCCAGTTTACAACTCGCTGTAGATAAGAACCATTATAAGTCCAATGTAATGATGATTTGTTTTACCCTCCGTGTCATAATTCACCCGTTCACACACTGAGGAGGCTCCTCTTGTTGTGCCGTTACAAACTAGATGATGATGAACACAAACGCACTACGTTTGAGCTGCTAAATACCTTTTTAATGTGACGCAAACAACGAGAACTAAAGCGTCTGTTGCCTGCGTGAGTATTCAGCCGCCCCGAGCGGATAGAACTCCACCAGCTTACGTGTCGAGATGGAAATGTTCCTCCGTTCTTCTCGGCCAAAAGCTGAAGCTCAGTCAGTTTGGAACAGCAGAGTCTTCCCACCGAGGGCTCAAAAGTAACTGCACACGCCACTAAAGTCGCCGATCGGCTGTGAGAAGTCACTGCTAATAAAACCGCGTCTGAAGGCATCTTCTAGTCCATTCTGATCTCTGAAGGTGTGAGAGGAACCAAGGTGTCTCAGGCGTGTCCCCCCCCCTCAGCTCCTCCGAGCATCCAGGCGAACCCGCTGTAGTGAATCCTCAGCACACACGGTAGAAACAACCAAGTGGATACGAGGCAGCGGAACGTCGAGGAGCAACGGTTTCGGAGGACGGGCGGATCTCCAGGAGCTGTGAAGACAAATCTACCTCCAGCTTTCTGTCTGTAGCCTCTGCTCTGCTGTGTGTCCAACCACGTCGCATTAAATGGGAGGACGGACGGCCATCGTGTTGTTTCTTTCTTGTTTGGAGCAAATCTACAACGTCGCACAATGTGTGTTGTGTCATTGTATCATATTCGACATAATCTCTTAACGTAACGAACGTCAACGGTTGATAAAATGTCAACAAATCGGGAGTGAAACTGGTTTTCTCATCACACTCTCAACCCGTTTTTACCAACTTTTTTAATTCATTCCCGTTAGTGTTCCCTAATAAACACATCAAAATGACTGAGGTTTCCTAATGAGCCTGAACGTAACACTCGCATCAGCAAAATGTGGGCGAATGTGACGTCATCGTCATCGCGGTGAATAAAAAGAAAGTTGCGGAACAATATTAAAACACTAACACCCAGCAGGTCTGTGTGTGTCATAACTTAAACGACCACATCCCCCCCCCGCCGACCCCCCCGCCAGGAGGCAAAGGCAGCTTTGTATTCACCCCCCCCCCCCCCCCCCACCTGTTCTGCTGCCATGCAAATCACCTGAGGCGAGTTACACATGCAAATGCCTCACATATCGCACACAGCGGCCCGTGAAGAATCCTCATGCCGGCCTCCGTATTTGTTTATGGAAATTATTGCAGACTTTTATTTCCAGAGATGTGAACGTATTTGGTGCTGGGGATCACCACATGTCACATGTCACATATCACATGTCACATGTCCCATGTCACACCCTTTTCACGGCACTTAATCCTCCACTGCTGCAGGAAATGCGTTTGTTGTTGTTGTTGTTGTTGTTGTTTTGTACATTAATGCAGCTTGACAACCACCTGTCAGACTGCACGGGGGTCGATGGAGCCCTCTTTAAGATGGCGCGTGTTTCTGCGCTTAAAGCCCCGGGGCGCGGCCCGCTGAGGGGGGCCCCGGGGGCCACGGGGGCCACGAGGCCCCCCTCGGAGGGGCCGCGCGGGCGCGCTCCCGGTGACACCCGCGGGGCCGGTTTGCATAGATACCGGCCTGGTTTCCGGGGCTTTTTTTTTTTTTTTTTTTTTTTTTTACAACTTGCAGGCCGCGCTGCAGTGCGAGTGCACTTTTACTTCCTTGTGCACGCAGATTGAGGAACTGACCGTTTTGCGGGCGGCCTGAAGCTCCACATCCTCCCCCCCCCCGCGCCTCATTTCACCACTTTCACGATCATGCGCGGATAGACGGCGGAACAGAACCGGCTCCTCGCGCGCAAAGGTGGGTCCGGTGTCTCCTTCCAGCGCTTCACTCACTCTCACGGTCAGCGGGTTCCGTTCTGCACGGGGGGGAGGACGGGGGGAGGACGGGGGGGTCGGCTTCGTGCCCCGGGCCGCTCACAGCGGGGTGTCGGGCCCGTGTCGGTTCCTTTGTGCGCTCACTTCACACCTTAAGGCTCATTTATACCGACAAGTTGTGATTATACATGTTTCTCTTTCTGACGACATATGTCCATGTCCCCCCCCCCCCACCTCCCCCTCTTTAGGGGGGAGACATGCTACTTTAAATATTGCGTTGACATGAAGCAGCTCTTCGTGCACTAACTTAACTGTAACTTTTTTATTTGTAATGTTCAAATTGTCTTTTCACAAGAAGGACACGGGCGACACTTTGTAGTTTATCACCAATGATTTGGATTCATTCATGTTTCTTGTGGCGATTCCCTTTGAACTAAAGGGGGGGGCTCGGGACCACCGGGATGTTCTCCTCTCTCTTCCTGCACGTCTGTCGTTAAACGGGGTGTGTTGGTGCTTGCTGGTATTTCACATGTGTGGAGGTTCATTAGTGCTGCCAGAACTCCCGAGTACCGAGAGCCCTCCGTCCCTTGTGTGTAGCCGACCCAGCGGAGGGCCCGCGGCTTGGGGGGGGTCGCAGTGCAAACGGGGCCTCCGGTGGTGTCGCGCTCACATGCAAACCACTTCACACTTGCGGCGGCGCACCTGCACGCCCAGAGAGCGGCTTCAGGGGGGGGGGGGGGGGGACGACGACCCCGCCGGAGGTGGACCAGGGGCCCCCCGAGCAGCTGTGTTATCCCATCATCACGTTCATGTTCTCATCAACTCACCGGGCCCCCAGAGCACCGCTCCCTGCACGCTGACAGCCGCTGTTTGACGCTCAGAAAGACGCCGTTTCATTTCACACTAATCAATGAGGAATTTGCAGAAGTGTGTGCGTGTGTGTGTGTGCGTGTGTGTGTGTTATCTCCATTATTTGCTTGCCTCTCGACTTTGGCTTCAGGTGAAGGCGCCGCGGTTCTCTTTGTGTCTCCAAAATGTTTCGTTTGTTCCACGTTTCGCTGAAGCGCGCTGGGACGGCGGCTTAGACCTCAGTCAAACCGACAACTCACAAACCCACCGTCCGTCCCTCAGGGCCTCTGACAGCGGTTCATCCCGACCACACAAAATGAAGGTTATTTGCTCCCATTTAGCACGAGAGAGAGCGTGTAGACACTTGTGAGTGTGTATAAGGAATAACACACAGAAACAGAGCAACATCCTCATTTCACATGAACGCCGGCGCTCCTGGAGCGAGCGCCCCGGTGACGCCGCATCGCCGCAGTATTTGTGTAACGCTTCGCGGGCGGCGTGAGGACATTTCGCGGGACGGAACAATGCCGCAGTCATGCCGACAGAAACGATCCCTCCCGCAGGGACGGCATCATTTGTTTAGGGCGCGAGTGTCAGGGATTAATCATTGACGCCACGACACGCAAAACACAGCGCTCTTCACTTTGTTTGCTTTTTGAAACGCTGTTAATGTTGAATTGCTGGATATGAAGCATCTTTTGTAATGATTTCAGATCCTTTCAGGACCTTGAACATGAAGATACACGTTAAAGGAAACAGGCTTCATGAGCTCATCCTGGTCTTTAATAAGACTGCAGACTACACAAAAAGGACCTGTCATTCACATTATGTAGCTCCCGTTGACCACAGCCGTCTGGCGTCCCCCCCGTGTCCCCCCCCGTGTCCCCCCCCTGTCCCCCGTCTCAGCTGCAGAGATGGCTCGACCGAAGCAGCAGTTGGAGATGACGGAGTACAAGAAGATGGCGATCAAGCGGGACCTGGAGATGGGGGTGGTGATGACGGTGTTCCGGCAGAAGGCGGAGCGGCTCACCGTGCAGGTCATCATGGAGACCCGGCAGGTGGCGTGGACCCGCACGGCGGACAAAACCGACGGCGTCCGTGAGTAGGAAACCGTCGCCCGCCGGCGTCGTCGGCGTCGTCTCCCGCGTGGTTCACGTTGAATGGTTCTCATTCGTCTCGTCTCCATTGGGACGACATACGTCACGCTAACCACAATAGTCATTTCCTTAGCGTAACGTGCGTAATGTGCCATAGTTTCGGGAACCTCAGTGCTGCTTAAGGTGGAAAGTCAAATGTTCAGAAGGATATTTTCAATTATTTACATTTGAAATGTGTGCAGACCTTATTCTGTCCCTCCGTCCTCGAAGGAGGCGCTGCCTCAGGGTGGCGCTTTGCCTCAACGGGCCTCTGGGTAAAGAGCGAGGGAGCGGGAGCCTTCTGCATGCTAACGTGGGACGCACTTAGCACGTTAACGTCTCAAAATGAAAAAGGTTTTATTCGATACACAACTTGAGTGAAGCTCCGGACAACTGGTTTATTGAGAAATACGGAACACAAAGTTATTCTTTGTTAGAATTAGCAGCCCGTTTTAGGATGCTAGCTTGTAGCATGGCTAACGGCGCTAGCTGCTCTGTTAGCCGCTTGGCCTTACGACTTTATCAACTTTTGTTGCTATGCTATTTGTGTTATTGAGCAAGTAAAATGTGAATTTCTAAGTTCAGATAAATGACATAAGCTGGTAAAACATTTCCCGTTAGCTTCACATGTAAACCAGGTAAATGTCGAATGCTAGTTGCTGAATTAATCCCATTTCTGGGGAAATTTAGGGGCATGAAAACGGACTATTTAAGTGTTTAAAAGAGGATCCATGTGACTGGATTCATCTGAAGCCCAGGTGATGACCCATAGATAACTGCTGTGTTTCAGTGGACCTGTTTGAGATCAGGGAGGTTCGTCCAGGGAGGAACTCTAAGGACTTTGAGCGCTTTAAAGACGGGAAGGACAAACACGATGAAAACTCCTGCTTCACCATCTTCTACGGCTCACTGTTTGTCCTCAACACCCTCAGCCTGGGAGGTGAGATCTTTATTCGTTCCTCCAAATGACGTTAGATCTTTGGTGTTCTGTTGATCATTTCCTGTGTCAAACCAGAACTCAACATGCTGAAAGGGACGTCGTCTGCAGCTCGACTATAAAGTCGCTCATATTTCAATGATGTTTATGAATATTAAACTAAATGGATTTCATAGAGATCAGATCAGTGTAAAAGTGAACCATCATCTGGAAATGGTCTTTATTCGCTGTTATAATCATTAAGAAGCTAAAGCAGCGGGTGTGCTCTCGCGCCCACTGTAGCATAACACCAGTTAATTATACGATGACACACTTTATTTTGCCGTCTCTATCTTGGATTTCGTCGCCATTATGTTTTTTGCAACCGATACACGGAAGTTTCCATGCAGAGGAACCACGTGGAGGCGCCTTGTGCGGTTCTGGTAGCGGCAGATACCCGTCAATCACAGGAGCCCCGCCCTAAATGACACTCGGCTTTATGGGCTAATTGACTCTAAATGGACCATAATTACTAAATGAACATCATGCTGTGTTGAAGAAGACGTGAAACTAGAGACTGAGACCATAAAGACATGTTGACAATCTTTACTGGGGGAATAAATCAAGAGAGAAGTAGAGTCATTTTCACATAGAGGTCTATTCAACCAGAGGAGTCGCCCCCTGCTGGACATGCAGGTTCTATGACTGCCTAGTTTTTACCTGATAATGTAATGCATTTTATAAATGCACATCTCCTTCCAACCTGTCTGGGTAACAAGTATCACTTAACGATTAACCACGACTGGTTCCAAATCCATTTAACAGATCTAAACATTACATTCACATTTGAATGCACCATGCTGTGCTTTTGAATGCACCATGCTGTGCTTTTGAATGCACCATGCGGTGCTTTTGAATGCACCTTGCAGTACTTTTGAATGCACCATACGGTGCTTTTGAATGCACCATGCAGTACTTTTGAATGCACTATGCAGTATATTTGAATGCACCATGCAGTGTTTTTGAACGCACCATGCAGTACTTTTGAATGCACCATACGGTGCTTTTGAATGCACCATGCGGTACTTTTGAATGCACTATGCAGTGTCTTTGAATGCACCATGCAGTGTCTTTGAATGCACCATGCAGTGCTTTTGAATGCACCATACAGTGCTTTTGAATGCACTATGCAGTGTCTTTGAATGCACCATGCAGTGCTTTTGAATGCACTATGCAGTGTCTTTGAATGCACCATGCAGTGCTTTTGAATGCACCATGCAGTACTTTTGAATGCACCATGCGGTACTTTTGAATGCACTATGCAGTGTCTTTGAATGCACCATGCAGTGCTTTTGAATGCACCATACAGTGCTTTTGAACGCACCATGCAGTGCTTTTGAACGCACCATCCAGTGTTTTTGAACGCACCATGCAGTACTTTTGAATGCACCATACGGTGCTTTTGAATGCACCATGCATTGTCTTTGAATGCACCATGCATTGTCTTTGAATGCACCATTCGGTGTCTTTGAATGCACCATGCAGTGTTTTTGAACGCACCATGCAGTACTTTTGAATGCACCATGCGGTACTTTTGAATGCACCATGCAGTGTCTTTGAATGCACCATGCGGTGCTTTTGAATGCACCATGCAGTGCTTTTGAATGCACCATGCATTGTCTTTGAATGCACCATTCGGTGTCTTTGAATGCACCATGCAGTGCTTTTGAACGCACCATGCGGTACTTTGATACAGTGTAGATTATGTTATGTTCAGCCGAGCTTTCAGCAAAGTGTGCTTGAATGCCAAACAGCTCTACTGGTGTGAACAATGACCCTATAGAAGTATTTCCTAAACACAGGATCAGATTCCCTCACAGTGGACAGTGACACTTTCTGCGTTGCTCCTTTTCCAGCGGATTCTGTGCAGGAGGCCCAGAAGTGGCTGACAGGACTAGAGCTGCTGAGGCAGGAGACGCTGGAAGCTCCGACTCCGGTCCTCATCGAGAGGTAGACTAACGGACACGTACCACAGCTGCTAGTGAGAACCACTGATCCAACAACTGATCCCTTGTGTTCCTTATCTCCCAGTTGGCTGAGGAAGCAGATGTATTCTGTCAATCAGACCAAAACACACAGGTACTGTTCACATGTGCAAGCTCAGTTTTATCTTCTTTCTAAATGTTTCACACGCAACAACATGTGTGCGGTTGTGATCTTTGTGTCTTTCCCAGTATCTCCATGAAGGAGCTGAAAGTTCTGCTTGCCTCCATCAACTACAAGCCCCCCAGCTCTCGTTCCCTCAAAGACAAGTTCCAGGTTCTCCCGTGTTCTCCTCTGCGTGTCACGTTCTGGTCCACCAGAGGACTAGCAGTCTAATCCAGAATGCAAACTAGTCTTTCTCAGTCTCGGCCTTGTTATTTTGTTCTGCTGTCACAGGAAGTGGGAGGAAAGAAAGACCGCCTGGACTTTGCACAGTTTCATAAATTGTACAACCTCATAATGTTCGAACAGAATGAGGTGAGTCTGAAATGATTAAATATAATTCATATATGTATTATATATGTATTATTACAGCATCCTCATTCACATGATCTTCTGAACACAGATCCTGGATGAGTTCAAAAGGGAATCCTGTGCTTTTATTTTGGGGTGAGCTTCTTTTTTCCCGTCCAGCTTTGCCAAACACACTGATGTAAACGGATGCTTGTGAGCACGTTGTGTACTTTGTGTGACCGTGTGTTTGCTCCGGCTCGTCATACAGTAACACGGATAAACCAGAGGCCTCAGCAGTCCTGCTCCACGACTTCCAACGATTCCTCATCTACCAGCAAAAGGTCACATAAGTACAGCGATGCCTCAATCACAATATGCTGAACGGTTATTGTGCTTCTCGCCAAATGACGCAAAAAACATGTTGTTTACCAGCAAAAAAATAAAGAAATTAGCAAATGTCGTGTTTCTGAAAAAAGTGAAACGAAAAGATTCAAAGTCTAGATTTGGCTGCATGTTAAATATGCAGCGAACAATGAGGAAAATTTCCAGAAAACAATTTGATATGATAATCGGCTCCAGGACAGCTGTCCATCAACTGTCCATCCAGGACAACTGTCCTGTAGCCGACCAAAGCTAACGGGGCAAAAACAGGATATCAGACAGCACGTCGCTCTCTTCTGCCGTCCTCTCGTCCCTCAGGAATCCTGGGCCAGTGACCTGAACCAGGTCAGAGAGCTGATGACCACCTTCATCGACGACACCATGAGGAAGACCAATGACCCCGAGTTCACCGTCAGCGAGGTATTCTGCTCCGTCGGACTGCTGCCGCACAATACGCCTCCCAGACAAACGCCCAACGTACCGGGAAAACATCTGCCTACATCTGAAGCCGATTCCTCCTCTAGTTCCTCAGCTTCCTCTTCTCCAAGGAGAACTCTGTGTGGAATGAGAAGTTCTCCGAGATCTGCAACCTGGACATGAACAACCCGCTGTCCCACTACTGGATCAACTCGTCACACAACACGTGAGTATGAGGCGCACGCGTGCACCACGCCAGTGACATTCACTCGCACTCCATGACCAAGTATAAGAAGTTAAAAGGTCTGCTTTACAAATTGGGTTTATTAACAAAACACTGTTCTGGTTGAAGTTAAAGTTACGTCATGGGCACTGGTTTGGTGAACCCAATGCGGGTGTTGTTTTTGTGCCCTGGCAACACAACCGTTGTCCTTGTTAATGGTTTATAGCCGATTCATGAAGGGAAGCCAACTGTTTTATTACCACCAATGAGTTACGCATTACAAACCTTTTCTTTTGGTAACACAAGCAGAGGCAACACGGCTTGACCTCTCCCCTGTCCCCTGTCCCCTGTCCCGTGTCTCCCCAGCTACCTGACCGGGGACCAGCTGCGCAGTGAGTCCTCCACAGAGGCCTACGTGCGCTGCCTGCGTCTGGGATGCCGCTGTGTGGAACGTCAGTGCGATCCGTCCCGTTGTGCGCGCCGTCTTGCGCCGTCAGCACCCGCTTATTGTGTGTTTGTGTGCCACTTTGCCCCGTTGCAGTGGACTGCTGGGAAGGGCCCGGGGAGCCCATCATCTACCACGGCTGGACCAGGACCACCAGGATCAAGTTTGAGGATGTGGTCAAAGCCATCAACGATCACGCATTTGTCACGTCCGAGTAAGAGTGACAGGAAACGCCGCGACTGCATCTGTGGCTCAAACACGCGCGCATAGATACGCGCTTTCTAGCCCATATTAATGTTTATCCACATTGGCTTGATTGTGAGCAATGTGTTAGGCTTGATAGACAAAGCTGTGAAAAATCCAGAAAAAGGTCACTTGCTCAACTTCATTTGAGATTTTGCGTGAATGTTTGCTCAGATTATTTAAATATTATTATTTAATATTATTATTATTTATTATTATTATTATTATTATTTATTATCATTATTTAATATTATTATTTAAATATTATTATTTAATATTATTAATATTATTATTTAATATTATTATTATTTAATATTATTATTTAAATATTATTATGTCATTAAGCTCCACTTAGTGGTTGTTTTTTTCTTTTTTTACACTAATGGAACTAGTTTTAATATTTTATTTTTGACCAAACAAAAATGTCTTGTGCCACTTTAAGACTATCAGTTAGGAAACGGTAACAATAAAGCCCCCCCCCCCCCCCCCTCAGGTTCCCGGTGATCCTGTCCATAGAGGAGCACTGCCCGGTGGAGCAGCAGCGCCAGATGGCCCGCATCTTCAGAGACGTGTTCGGGGACAAACTGCTGACCGAGCCGGTGGAGGAGATGGCCGAGCAGCTGCCGTCGCCGACGCAGCTCAGGGGCAAGATCATCCTCAAGGTACGGCCCAAATCCACATCGCCGTATTCCGCGGGATCTTCGTTCGTTCGTTCATCGACGCCGAAAAGTACCGAAGCTGTTCACCGCTGGCCGGCCCTTAGGCGTCGATGGGTTTTTGTGAACCTTCTGGTTTACCTCCTGGTGCAGCACAAGAAGCTCAGTGTGGAGGGAGGAATCACCAGAGACCTCAGGAAGGGGCAGAAACAGGGAGACCTGGAGATCTGGGACCCCGTGGACCAGGTAACTAACCCTAACCCTGCATCACGACAGACCACTACAAACCCTGTAACAACCTTATTATCCATGCCGGGTTATGATTCCAACACGTCGGGATTGATGTGGAGAAAAAAGATGATATTCCAACCCGAGTGAGTCGTCTCTTTGCATTTAAAGTCCAACGCGTATGTCTTGACGTGTCTTTGGCAGCGGTGGAACAAGCACTACTGCGTGATCTCTGAGGACAAGCTGTATTATGCAGAGGAGTACGAGGAGGAGGAAGACGATCCCCGGAAGGTAAAGACACGAAAAAACAACAACGCATGAACTGTTAATATAACGTCACGGTCGGCTTTGAGGCACTTTAGCCTTAAACTCCCTTTTCTGATGTGATCATTATTATCAAACGTTAAATGCGAGACGGAAATCAAACTGCGGTACCGGTCAACCCTTCGGTGCTGTGCATATCGGGGAAGGAAGGAAGCATAAGTCCTTCTCCTGGTTCTCAGTTCCAGGACTTGCACCTCTCGGAGCCGTGGTTCCACGGGCGCCTGAAGGAAGGCCGCGTGATGGCCGAGCGGCTGATCCACGACTACTGCGTGGAGAACGGGGGGATAGACGGCACCTTCCTGGCCCGGCCGAGCGATACCTACGTCAAAGACTTCACCCTCTCCTTCTGGTACGCCGTGGTGGTCTCGTTCTGGCGGAACACGCCAAAGTTGTCCCCCCCCCCTGAGCACCTTTTGTGTGCGTGTGTTCAGGCGCAGCGGGAGAGTCCAGCACTGCCGCATCCGCTCGGGTTCGGAGGGGCCGCACACCTACTTCTACCTGACGCCGAACCTGCACTTCCCCAGCGTGTACTCGCTGATCCAGCACTACAGGGAGAACCCGCTGCGCTGCCAGGACTTCGAGCTGCGCCTCACCGGCGCCGTGCCGCAGCCCGACCCGCACCTGCAGAAAGGGTTCGTCAAACGTGTCCTCCGCGGGATCCTTGTCCGGCCGCAGGGTCTGCGAGTCGGCGTGCATTCAGGACACGGCTGGGATTCACCGTGCAGGGCTGTGTGTGTGTGCAGGTGGTTCTACAGTAACCTGAGCAGAGGCCAGGCCGAGGACTACCTGCTGAGGATTCCCAGAGACGGCGCGTTCCTCATCCGACAGAGGGAAGGAGAACCAGACTCCTTCGCCATCACGTTCAGGTGCGACGGCGGTTCAGCCTTTCGTTGCCGTTGCCGGATCCGCGCGTGTGTTAATTGTGTGTCTTATTCAGAGGCGACGGTAAGGTCAAACACTGCCGCGTCCAGAAGGAGGGCAACATGTACCTTCTGGGCACCACCACGGAGTTCGAGAGCCTCGTGGACCTGGTCGAGTACTTCAGGAAGAAGCCGCTGTATCGCAAGATCAAGCTGCGTTACCCAGTGACCCCCGAGCTGGTGGACCACTTCAGCACCGTGAGTTCCACCAGGAGCAAACACATGTAGTGGAGGTGAAAGTGAAAGTGAAATATTTACCTTTGTGATGAATACAAAGTAGTACCATCAAATGGGGATATTGTAGTCCAGTGAAGTACCTCAACATTGAATTTGTACATAGTACTTTGTTCGTCACAGGTCATTAGGTTTACGAACTGGGAGTCCCGAATTTCTGCAAACGAACCCTCTTGTCCGCTTGCTGCTACTTGAACATTTAAGCCTGGAATCGGTACGTTTTTAAATCCAGTAACGTGTCCTAAATGTGTACCGTGCTGCCACAGGAGAAGGACTGTGCCTTTCTGTACGAGGTGAAGACCTACGTGGAGCCCAACGAGATCGAGCCCATACTGGTGTGTATTCACACACACACACACACACACTGCCAACCGTAGACGGCGGCGACACAACAGTGTGCGTTTGTCTCCTCCAGCCTCAAAGCACAGTGAGGGCCGTCTACAGCTACCAGGCCAAAAACCCCGACGAGCACAGCTTCAGCAAAGGAGCCCTGATCCACAACGTCTCAAAGCAGAGCAACGGATGGTGAGTGGGCGTTACCCCCCCCCCCCACGCAATGCATCACCACCAGCACGCGCCGTTCACCGTGTGGCTCGACAGGTGGAAAGGCGACTACGGCGGAAGGCTGCAGCTCTTCTTCCCGTCCAACTTTGTGGAGGAGGTGTCCAACAACACCAAACCTGACGTCAAAGGACAGGTGAACGTTGGCGTCCAGCTCACGATCAATCAATAATATAGTGATGGTAGTAATAACGATCCACTGCGTGCATTGAAACAGGACATGGAGGACAACCCGCTGGGCGAGCTGTGTAAAGGCGTGGTGGACATCTCCAAGTGCAACATCCAAAACTGTGAGTCCTCCGAGTAGTCGGACGAGCAATTAGCCGAGCAAAACCAAAAAATCATTACATTTTTCTTTTACCCAGAGCGACTTACTTATTGAAGAAGAGTAATATCATAAACTTTCATTTATATTTATCAATATTGATTAAATTAAGAGAGAAGTCGAGTCTTGTTTCTAGAGACCGGAGGAGTCGCCCCCTGCTGGTGAGTATAGAGAATGCAGGTTATAAGACAACTGCGAGGAGGCTTAACCCCTCAGAACTGGAGGCGGCCGTCTGCCGCCCCCCCCCATTAAGCAATTAGGGTGATTTAATTTGAGGGATACGCGTGATTGATCCCAAAGTGTATAAGTCCCCCCCCCCCCCCTCACCGAGCTTCTCGTCTCCAGTGAGGAGCGGTAAGAACGGGAAGCCCAACGTGTTGACCCTGCAGGACGTGGAGCAGGACAGCCTGCAGTTCGACCTGGCGGCCGACTCCCTGGAGGAGCTGTTCGAGTGGTACCAAGTGGGCTGGAACATCACGCAGAGAGCGATGAACGACAAGTACTACCAAGAACGAGTGGTCAGCATCTCACCCCGTGTGTCTGATATTCATACCAGCGTTCTCTCAGTCGCTGCTCGCATCATTTTGCTATGAAATGTGACTGCTCACCTCGTGGTTTTCCTCGCCGTCATTCTGTGGAACACTAGTTCACGCTAAAGCTATAAGGGGGCGGCTCACGATCGAAACCTGCTTGGTAGCCACAGTGGGCACGCTCCACCTGCATCGCCGTGCAAACAGGAAGTGGCGGTTTCTTTTCTGTCCAATCTCAGATCAGACAGCAGGAGGAAGTGGAGAAGAAGGCAGAGGTTGCCATGGAGATGTCCGACCTGGTGGTCTACTGTCAGCCGCTCAGCAAGGAGAAGGACCGCTTTGGTAAACAATGCAGACACGGAAAGAGGCCCTCGAAGGCGAGCGACTTGCTGATCTGACGATAAAACCGCCGCGGCCTCACGGTGGAGAATCGGTGCCAAGTTTTGATTTACAAAGCAAAGTAAAACCGCGAGAAGCGCGAAATGAGTTTTGCTGCAGTAACCAAACATTCAAAGAGATCTGTATCTGCCAGCAATGAGTGGCAGTTAAGTTTACCATGAAAAGGCAACGGGCCTCAGCTTTCACTGTTGCCCGTGTGAGGTTCACAGGTCCGTTGCCATCGACTGGAACTACCAGCGGTTCGACGCGGACCCCTCAAATCTTTGTCCCCCCGCAGACCGCTACACCTACAAGCAGATCCGCTCCTTCGTGGAGAACAAGATGCCGGGGAAGAGCCGCACCAGGGAGTTCCTGTGCTACAACCGCAAGGCGCTGAGTCGCGTCTACCCGAAGGGCCAGCGCGTGGAGTCGTCCAACTACGACCCCTACCCGCTGTGGGCCCTCGGCTGTCACATGGTGGCTCTCAACTTTCAGACTGCAGGTGCGGTGGCGGCGGGGCATCTCGGGGGAGGGGGCACAGATCGTTATCCACATCAGGCCCGCCGTGGTGTCCAGTCCAGATCCAATCCAGTTTGGGGCATTATTTATAAACGGGGGTCAACGGCAACACAAGTGGCACATTTTAGAGCAGTCAGGGTGCACTCACTACCAAAATACAGACCACACCACTGGTTTTTGACTCGCCGAGCCAAAGGCTGAGTGCACGGTCTGCAGAAAGCCATCAGTTAAGTTAAACGTGTGCATCACTTTGCACTCACAGGCCCCTTTTTTCCCTTATTTGTCCCCTGATAAGTAACAGTTTTGCACGTTTTTGTCGTGTCCCCCAGATAAATACACTCAGCTGAACAGCGCCCTCTTCAGTCAGAACGGACGCACGGGTTACGTGCTGCAGCCGGAGCTCATGCGCGACGACGGCTACGAGCCGCAGCAGGAGAGGAAGAAGGTCAAGTACGACATTGTGGTTCGGGTACGTGCACACAAACACGCACACGCACACGCACACACACACAGCGTGCCGGATGAGCTGCAGCTGCGTGCGTCTGCAGGTGATCGCCGCCAGACACCTGCCGAAGCCCGGACGCAGCATCGCCAGTCCCTTTGTGGAGATCGAGCTGTGCGGGCACGACGAGGAGAAGTTCAAGACCATGGTCTATCGTAAGGAGGGGGCGCCAGGGAAAGAGGGAGGGGGGGGGCAGTCTGTCTGTCTGTCAGTCTGTGCTCGTGTGACCGGCGCTGTCGTCCTGTCGCCTGCAGGGGACAACGGTCTGAACCCGGTGTGGAAGTCCCCGGCGGACTCGGCGGTCTTCACCGTGCACGAGCCTGAGCTCACCTTCCTGCGCTTCGTGGTGAACGAGGAGGACATGTTCTCAGACCCCAACTTCCTGGCTCAGGCCACGTTTCCCGTCAAGGGCATCCGCTCAGGTGGGGGGGGGGGGACATGCAAAGCTCACGTAGTATGCACACATATATATGTGTGTGTGTGTGTGTGTGTGTTCTCTGCAAATAGTTTGACAAAAGGTTCTGACAGGAAAAGCAACCGAATGCAAAGGTCATTGATGAGATATTTCATCAAAATCGTCCTGTGTAATAACGATTCTGTTTAAAAAATCTTTATATTCTGCACAAGAAACATCAGAGACCAACCGGCATGTAACCAAAGGCTTTAATTTCCACCGAGCGGGACGGGACGGGACGGGTCGGGTCGGGTCTGTTAACCATGATTTGGCGAGCGTTTCCACCGCCAACAGTACCCATACTTGATAGGCGTGGTACATGACGGAAAGTAGATTGACGTCATTCGATCGCGCGAAAACTGAACGCTAACCGCAAACAACAACGGAGGACGTGCAGCCGATCCTGTTCCTGCTTCTCGACATGCGGCTGTTTGTCACAAGGAGACGACACTCTTTGTTTGAGCAAAGGCTACACGCTGCAGGTGTGTTACGTGTTGTTGTCTTTCCCCAAATGACGACACTCTTTCAACCAATCAACGCTCTGCAGTGAGTCTAGCTCCGCCCTTTAGTACCAAACAACTGTGCCAGGTGCCCCAACGGAAGGGAACCCAAAAAGGATTTTTGGTACCATTCTCAGCTTTTGGCGGTGGAGACACAAATAAAAGGGACCCGACCCGTACCGCTCGGTGGAAACGCGCCATAAGTGTGGCCTAATATTTTCCAATATTATTGGAATAAATACAAAGGACACGAGCTCTCTTTACTAGTAGAGGACGGAGGGACAACGAGGTGACGCGGTGCCTCCCGACTACCTGAAGCGTCCGTTTCATTGGTGTGTATCCTGCTAAATGAACCATGGGGAGGTATGAAGCGTTTACACCCGGGGAGACGCAGAGAAGCTTCATCCCGCTCTGATGTAACTAACATACGTGTCGGGGGGGGGGAGTTAGGCATGACCCTTGTCATGGTGTCGTAAAGGAACACGGAAGGAACTTGACTGCAGGAAATGTTCCTCCAGGTTACCGCTCTGTGCCGCTGAAGAACGGCTACAGTGAAGACTTGGAGCTGGCGTCTCTGCTGGTCTTCATCAACGTCCAACAGTCAGGGGTGAGCACACGCACACGCACACGCACACGCAGGACATCAGCACAGATGTGCACTCGTGTTCACACGACTCGCCCGCGCAGAAAGCGGAGGAGGAGCTGTACTCGTCCTCTGGCCAGCTGAAGAAGAAGCAGGCGGAGGTCGGCGGCGAGCCTTTCCTGTACGACACGCACACTAACATCCAGCGCGCCGCGCCGCGCCAACACAACCCGCTGACCCGGGAGGGCAGCGGCGGAGAGAGGTGAGCGCCCGCCCCGCCCCCGCGGGCCCCCACGCCACGCCGCGCCGCGCGTGCTCCCGTCTCAACGTCACAGCTCTTGTTTTCTTTGCACCACAGGACAAAAGAAAAGAAGATAAACAACAACAAGTTCTACCCGTGAAGAAATCACCTCCCCGTCAAGATCTTATCGATTGGCATCCTACGCACCCAAAAACAGCTTTTCTATTTATTCAAGTTTTTTTTTTGTCAGACCTAAGACTACACATTTTAACGATAAAACGTCGGACAAACATCGCGGCGCCTCCGGGTCGGAGGTCAAACCGTACGGAGGCGGACAGCGCTGATACGCGGGTGATATTTATTGTGTAACTGAAACGAGAGCGGACGCTTCTTCTGCCGGGACCGCGCGTGTCGAATGAATCTGTCATTTTTTGAGTCTTCATTTTTTTTTCCGGCGCCTGACGGGTGGGAGGCGACTTGTCGTGGAGGCTGCCGTGCGTCATATCAGTGGGATCACACGACGTAATGCAAACTGTGGGTGGATTTCATTGGAAGCCACGTGATGTTTGTAGATTTTTCTGTTCAAGAGACAATAAAGAATGCTTGGTGAATGTTTCCCTTTCACTTTCATCTTCATTTGGCCTACAGCTGTGTTACTCTGCATGCTCTGTAATAATAATATTCATAAGCATGTTTCATGAGCTTCATATTAGGATGGAATAGTCGTGTGTAATGTAAGTGACTTGGTGCCTTTCTCCTGCTGATCTCTTCCCACTATTGGAAGTTAGTTAAATGATAACTAATCTAATCATCGCATCTTGGATTACGATGGTGTTAAATCAGTTATTCTTGTGAGGAGCAGAGTTGCTGCTCAGAGTCGCTCCGTCTTTAAGGTGAACTCAGGTCTGATACTTCAGAGATGTTCCTCACGAGGAACGAGCACGTGTGACAGGAGCAGGTGTGTGTCTCCCTCACACCTCGAGAGCAGAAGCTTCCCGCCGGAGACGTCTTTAAGCGACCAGCATGCAAACTATCCGCTTTGTCGACGTCGTCTACGAATTATCACTCACATCTCATGTTAAGTAGTAGGAAAGCAACTGACTCGGGGGTTCTCTGCAGCTCACTGTGCAACATGCAGACGGACACACACACACGCCCACCTACACAGGTCTATTTGACAATTTGAGCTAGAAACTTTCAAACCATGTTCTTGAAATATTATAGGTATTATTATTTTATTATTATTCAATACCAAGATGTCAGGGAGGTTCAGCTATTTTAATAAACCTTAAACTTACCTTAATAATATATATATATATATATATATATATATATATATATATATATATATATATATATATATATAAACACACATTTATGTCGGTGACGTTAATACAAATTGAATACATTTTGAATATTACCGAGTGGAAGTGAAATAACGGCCTTTCCGTCTCTATTGTGACCCACTCAGGTGTCTCTGTGAGGACAAGTATTCCCGGAGTTTAGCCTCGCAGGCAGTTTACGCGCTAACGGCAGACACGTCCAGCCGCTCCCGCCTTTCTCTCCCCTGCGGGCCGCGTTGTAACACTCCGCCGCCGCCGATGTGGATCCGTGGCGCCACCGAACCCGGACGCTGCCGGCTCCGGCGGCGCCGTTAACCGCCTGACAGACGCGGCGCCGGGGCGAACCGCGCGTCGTTTCGCGTGACGTCAAAAGAAGTTGTTGTGTTGACAGCGCCCGGCTAGCCTGATGCTAGCTAGCCCTGTTGCGTCGGGTCCCCCCGCAGACTCGCGTGGTTTCTGGAGGTGCGCTGGCCGTCTGTCCCCCGTGCTGGGTAGCGTACAGGGTCCAGACATGCAGGACCGGTACAGCGACATTGGGTTCGTCCAGCAAATACTCGGGTTGAATTTAGTGCCGAGGAAAAATGGCTCGCACCGAGGAAACGACACGTCCCTCGACGACTTCTCAGGTGGGCTAATGTTTGGTAGCCTGCTAGCGGGCGGTGTGTGTGTACTGAAAGGCTGTCACGTCTTCGGCACCTCTGGAAGTTACTTTTAACGAACATGGGTAACATCTGGATGTGCCGAGTTTGCCTTTAAATACGTTCCCGCGCGTTTGTACCGTTAGCTTAGTCACGGTACGTTGTAGCAGTTATGCTAGCTCAGCTAACTTCCTGCTGTATCCCAACGGGTGTTTGGGATCACAACTCCCTGTTTAATATTCCTTATTACTTCTTATATTATATTTATTTTAGGCGTGTAGGTTGGCGCTGTTGTCCTGTTTACTGTTGGTGTTTTTAAAGTTAGAAGTTGTGAGTTGCTTCGCTATTTTAAGTTGATTCAAACCCGCCGCTGAGCCTCCGTCGAGGCCTTTTGTCTACTGCTGATCAGCGGAAGAGACCCAGCTGTTCGCCTCACAACATCCGGTTCGATAGCCCGAGGACACCGAGCCGGGCCGAGCCGAGCCGGGCCTACGAAGTCCATGTCCAGGAATTCCCTTTTGGAAAGAAAGAGCACACCAGAGTCCATTAACATAGATTTTAGACACTAGCTGCTCCTGTGTAATGCAATGAAGAATATGTGTCTTCCTTTTATTACTTGGAGGCCAAAGTCAACCTGAGACTCTCGTCTCTGCCTGTTGTCTGTTGTTTTCCTTTTATTTGCCAAGCGTCTTGCGCAACGTGCTTTGCCGTGTGTTTGTCCAGAGATGTGGTACGGCGTGTTCCTGTGGGCCGCCGTCTCCTCGCTGATCTTCCACCTGCCCGCGGTTCTGCTGTCCATCGCCACGCTGCGCCAGCACAAGATGGCCCGGTTCATGCCCATCGCCATCCTCCTCATGGGCCTGCTCGGACCGGTTTTCGGGGGGATGCTCACCAGTAAGCCACTACCCGTTCTTGTATATTGGGTCCTATTGATCTGGGTCCTATTATTAACGTTAATCTATGTTGTATCATTCATGTTCCTCGTCCACAACTGCATTTTACGGTTTAATGTAAGTTTGCATTTACTGATTCCAACTTGAACGTATCGGAATGAAACTTGACTCTAACGCTCTTCCCTGGTTTTCGTTTTCTAACATCCACTGTGAAGGTGCAGCCATAGCCGGCGTGTACAAGGCGGCGGGAAAGCGGATGATCTCGTTGGAGGCCCTGGTGTTCGGTGTGGGCCAGTCCTTCTGCGTCCTCATCATCTCGTTCCTCCGGGTCCTCGCCACCCTCTAGCAGCAGCGAGTGGTACCCGGGACGCGTGTCCTGGTGTCCTGCTGGCGGAGTGGATTCTGGTTGCTGGTCGTCCGTGTGACGCCTCCGCCGGAGGACGGCGCGATGCTGCGTGACCCTTCAGTCGTTCCTGCACCATGTGGATGCTGTTATCTCCCTGTTGCCAGGGGCTACGGGTTAACAGCTGGACGACACTAACCTAATCTCAGGGTGTGTGTGTGTGTGTACTCCATGCAATGACGGGGTCGAGAACACAAGGGTTATATGCAAAGATTCTGGCTTTTCCCCTCGAGGCCTTAACTTCTATTTTCTAACTTCCAAAGTGGTGTTTTCTCTTCAGGGCAGTTTGTTCTTCACCACGGTCTCTCTCGCTGCTCCTTTTTGTTCCTCCTCGTGTTTTTGTTGAGTCTAATTGAAACCTGACTGCCTGCGTGTTGTTGTTCATTCCAGTTAGTGGGAAACTTTGTACACAAGTTGATTCAAAACGAGCATCAAGTGAAGTTTTTTCCTTTTCTTACGATCCTTTTTATGGCACATGCAGCGTAGAGAATGTCACTGATTCATCGGAGTAGATGGGGGGGGGTCCGTTCACTAAACGAGAGCTTCCCTCCTCTCTGTGATTTTACAGGTGTCTCATTTTGTCACACTGAATGGATTTTTACATATTCTAAATTATTTCCAGGTCTTTTATAGCTTTTTTGAATCCTCATGACCAAATGTTTCTGCGGTACACTGAACAAAGAACTCAATCCACATACAAGTTTTCATTATTGGCCTTTGATTTTACATTCAGCGTCTTTGTCTCACTTTAACGCGTCGGGTCGTTTCTACACAAACATCAGCCGCACAGAATTTCTTTCTTTTATTTTCAATTGAATTTCATAAACGTGTACTGATTGATTTTGCCGTCTGTCACACACAGAATGTTTCTTCCCTTGTAGTTTGTGCGCGTTCCCTCCGGACATTGTGTTCACGCCGCCGTGGTCTTAGTTAATCCCACGAGCCTCTGCAACTCGACGCAAGAGCAAACGCTGGATCTTCTCATCCCCTCGGAGAATACGTGCAACCCTCCGACATCTGTCATAGCAGCACGAGTCAGTCAGGACTGTCCCGCGCGGTGCGGATGTGCAGAAGGAGAAAAGGAGGTGCAGACTGGGCCCGTCCCAGTTTATTGGATCCCCAACAGAGCGCAGTTCCTCAGCTCACCAGCAGGACGTCGGGTCACTGAGGAGTCCACTGAGCCGCTAAACTCTTGATTTTGAATCATTATTATGCTCATTGTTGCAGAGAACGGCTTCCATCCTCAAGCATTTAGCTTTGGACGCTCCTGTGATGTTAGAGTAGTAAAGTGATGGAATTGGTGGAAGTCGCGTGTGAGCGTCTGCTGTGATAGAACCTCTTTATTTCCACATTCCTGCACCGCTTCTGTTCAGTTTTAACCAGATTTTAAAAGTTGATTTTAATCAGAGTAAATTAAGTGCCAATGGTTTATTTATTCTTTTTTTTCTGGAATAAAATAGTTTCCTCTATGACGCGTGCTTCATCTCTGCCTCCTCCTCACCGCTGCGTTTCATTTAAAACACTGAATCACGTTCAAGCCGTCTTTGTCCACTTTTAAATTGGGATTCACAGTATCGGAGACGTCTGAGACAAAGACGTGTTGAATAAACGCACGTCTAGTTGACAGACGTAGGCTGGATATTAAAGTTCCTTTTTTGTATAAACATTTTATAAGCAGCTAAATCCTGAGCTTATGATTCATTTGGTCAGAAACATCTTGTCCTTATTACACCGTTTACTACAAAACAATAAAGCATAACGGAAAGTACAGAGATCACAAAGTGTACAAATCTCAGTCTCTTTCCGTCGCTCCTCTTCCTCCTCGTCTTCCTCCTCGTCTCCTCGTTTCTCATCCCTGATGTGAAGTGAACCCGTTTGATGAGGAAACGCGTCTTTCTACACATTCAAACATAATGCCAAAGATGTTCCTTCATGTAAATAATCACTAGGTCACTTCCTGGAACCCAGAGCATATTTGTAATAAATTGCACTTTTATGCACCATAAACTTATTGTGACCAATAATAACGACATGTTACGTGTCATAATGTGAGTAATTTAATACAGAACTCCAGCTAAAGTATTTATTCTTAATTGCTGAGAATAATGTTGGATATATATAATATGGCAGAATATTTGGGCCTGTGTGGACTCGGCAGGAGGATCTGAGCGTGACCTCAGACCCGTGTGTGTGGATCAGAGGAACCAGAAGAGCAGCCCCACGTCTGACTTCATCAAGCTGAAACAATTCCGTCAGTAAAGACATCGACAGAATCCAGAGGCTGCTTTCGTTTCATTGTGGAATCAGGACGCGCACTCTGCAATTAACACATTTATTGGTAAGAGCTCGTGCACAGACGCCCGTTATCGCAGCTCAGAAGTGCACAAACAGCGTGGCGTCATCGTCTGGAGGAGGACGGGGGGCAGACTGGCATCTTCATCCGGGACGGCACCACGGCACTCCTCCTCCTCTACTTCTTGTTCTTGTAGTCTTCCAGGTGAGCCAGTATCCAGCCGGAGGGCCCCAGCATGACTACGAAGAGGACCGTCATGGCCACCGCCTGCTCCTGAGGGACACGCA